GCTTTCTGCGTATGACGGCGAAACCCATTTGAGGTTGGAGCATGTCCCTTAGAAGACATGAGATGGACTGGTTGTTTGGGAGCGAAGGAGAGGAGTTGTTTCCGAGGTTAAGAGATGTTTTTTTGTTGCGCCTTGTTTAGGGGAGGAAAGATATTTCCACAGACCAGCGGATATTTTACATCCTTGGTTCAGATCAGATGTCGTCAGGTAGTCCATCAAGATATTCTGTCAGGAGGCCTACAATTTTGTGTCCCGTCTCATGCAGAGAATCTTGGAAGAGGGATCTATATGAATTGACGCTTTGACCTGGGGAATCCACTCATGCAGGACTTCTTCGCTCCCATATCCCTTCTTCAACTCGGGATACGATTCCTGCACCTGGACGTCGAGACTGGGAGACTCGGACAACTCGACGAGCGGGTGGAAGGGCCCCTCTGTCTCATCCATGCCGAGCACGGGCGTCACACAGGCGTCGACACGGTCGAATATCGCTCTCCACTCGTCCCGCGTCTTCTGTCTGAAGATGCGCGCGAACAGCTCTTTGGTCCGCGGCCACGCTGTCCTGTCCCACTGCCCCTCCGGCAACACCTCACGATCGATCCCCAGTCCTGCCAGGAGATTGGCGTAGAACTGGGGCTCTTGGGCCCCGACGGCGACGAACCGGTCGTCCCTGGTCCGGTAGACCTCGTAGAAGGGGGCGGCGCCGTCGAGGAGGTTCTCGCCGCGGGGCCGGTCGCAGTTCCGGTGACCCTGCTGCTGCCGCATGAACGTGGCGAGGTAGGCGGTCCCGTCGACCATGTTGGCCGCGACGAGCTGGCCCCTGCCAGAGACCCGTCGATGCAGCAGCGCGAGCAGGATGCCCACGACGCACACGAGCCCGCCACCCGCGAAGTCGCCCAGGATATTCGCCGGCGGGGAGGGGTTCTCGTCCCTGCGGCCCAAAAGCGATAGTACGCCAGACACGGCGAGGTAATTGACGTCGTGGCCCGCGCGGTTTTTGTACAGTCCCCCGGGCCGGAAGCCGTACAGGTGCGCGTAGACGAGGCGCGGGTTCAGCGCGCGCAGCGTGTCCGGACCCAGACCCAGTCGCGCCATGACCCCGGGTCGGTACGGGTCGATGAGCACGTCGGCGGCCTTGACCAGCTCGAGGAACGCGCATCGCGACGGCTCCCGCTTCAAGTCGACCACGACGGAGCGCTTGCGTCGGCACAGCGTGTCGCGCGGCGGGCCGAAGACCTCGAATGGTCGGTCGACACGGACGACGTCGGCGCCGTAGTCGGCGAGGACGAGCCTGTTTGTATGACAAAGTCAGGGAGGGGGGCTTGGGTGGATGCCGTGAGGATCGCATCATATGGGATGGGGATATGGGTGACGAACCCGGCAAAGGGGCTTGGAGCAAGTCCGCCCAGTTCGAGGACTAGATGTACCAAGACGAGGTTTGATTAGTATGAGTATATTTGTTTGTCTCCCTCACACAAACACACATTTTGGTCAAACGGAAGAACAAGAACAGGATATTGAATCCATCACTCACCTCTGAGTCCTTTCAAAGGGGCGTCTGATGACATGGTTCTCTCGGTCGCTGTTGAACCTTCACATCCGGTTCTGGCAGCCCCCTTTGACCGATATCTACTCTGCAGACCCTTTCTCCGAAGTCCAAGTCAGGTCGTATCTTGGATCCTGATCTTTACAGTAGTTACCAACGACAAGGCTGGCCACGTACCTCTTACTGTATGCTCCCCTTCGGCCCCACCTGGTACTTTACTCCACATTTCCCCGATTGTCGATTGTTGTGGAGGGTTTGGATGTTCGGGGGTATTGCCAATGTACTACACTCTACACACTCTACACTACGCGGTAGGGGAATACTACCTGGTTAGTTGAGTAGGAGGGTCCAGGACGGGGTGACTCTCCATGGTCAAACTCCAATGAGCGACGACCTCGGTAGTGGACCCAGTACAGTTTGCGGTGGCACACCTCCCTCTCTGCCTGTGCCTCTCGAGAAAGCTCTCGTCATGATCTGAGCGTGGATGTTGGTCTTCATCAAGAGGCCTCTCCCATAGATGACCAAGGGTAAACTCACACACAATATACAAACCTACAATCATGATCTTCGAGTCACAGTACCACGTCGACATCCCCTCTGTCGACCTACTCACGTTTCTCTTCTCCCGCACACCCTTCAAGGACGACGACCCGATATGGATCAACCCATCCAACCCGTCCAACCACGTCACCCTCGCCAGAGTCCGCGACCTGACGCGCCGAATCGGCCAGGGCTATCGCGACCTCGGCATCGGCAGCCACGGCGCCGGCAGGGACATTGTCCTCTCGTACGTCGAGAACCAAGTCATGGTCGCGCCCAATAACTTCGGCGTGATCTGCGCGGGCGGCGTCCACGCGACATGTTCAGTGACGGCAACCGCGTTTGAGCTGGCGAGACAGATACGGCTAAGCAGGCCCAAGATCCTGATCTGTTCGGCGCAGACGAGGGACGCCGCTGAGGACGCCATCGGACAATCTGGAGTCGATGGCATTCGCCTTGTCATAATGGTGTCCGCCGAGTTGAATATCGTGGACGGAGGCGGAAAGTCCATCGTCAGTGACAGAAGACTGGAATGGGAGAGGGTCACCGACCCTGCCGTCCTCGAACGGACGACGGCTTGTCTCGTCTATTCCAGCGGCACGACAGGCAGTCCGAAAGGCAAGGAAAGCCCCCCCTCTCCAAAAAATGATACTAGGTGTATTATAACCAAAACTAATCAAATTGTGGGCGTGTTGAACCCTCACAGGCGTTGTCATCACGCACTCCAACATCGTGGCCAACCTCTGCCAGATGGCCTTCCACTTTGACCACTTCGCCCGGAAAGCCATCTCCGAGGGCGTCTACCTCCGCATGCCGGGGGTGATGCAGAACGCCGTCGCGGTGGGCATCTTCGTCCAGAACATGATGGCCCTGCAGTGCGGGATGCAGGTGTACATGTTCCCCAAGTACGACTTTCCCACGCTGACGGCCAGCATCAAGAAGTTTCGGTTGTCGGCCTGTTTCATCGTCCCCGCCATCTGGAACAAAGTCGTGCAGGAGTGCACGAGGGAGGATCTGGCGTCCATCAGGTTCGCCATGAGCGGTGCGTCGCCCCTGCCGTTGCCCCTGCAGTTGAAGGTCCACGACATGTTGCCCGACGGCGTCGTGTTGCGGGTCAACTGGGGCATGACGGAGACGGTCACCGCGGCGGCGCAGCCGAATGCCACCGAGGTCGACAGGGCGGGGAGCTCGGGGAGATTGTTGCCCAACATCCAAGCCGTCATCCTCGGCCCTGATGGGGGAAAGCTGGGCTACAACCAACGGGGGGAGTTGTGTGTCAGAGGTCTGTATCCGATACCATCCCATTCAAATTAGATTCGTACTTCTTCACTGACTAGGTTTTCAGGACCGAACATAATCAAGGAGTACTTCAACAACCCCGAAGCCACGCGCGCGGCATACACGAGCGACGGCTGGTTCCGCACGGGGGACATTGCCCACTTCGCCCGCGACGGCAAGCTCTTCATCGTCGGCCGCTCCAAGGAACTCCTCAAGTACAAATCCTTCCAGGTGAGTCCCACCGAAGTCGAGTCCATCCTGGGACAGCTGCCCGGAATCTCCGACGCCGGGGTCATCGGCGTGCCCGACGGCGAGGGCAACGACCTCCCTCGAGCGTACATCGTGCGGTCCGAGCGGGGCAAGGCCGAAGGTCTCTCGGAGAAGGAGATCCACGACTTTCTCAACCCGCGCGTGAGCAGCTACAAGCGGCTGCGGGGAGGGGTGCGGTTCGTGGACGAGATCCCGCGGAACCTGAACCAGAAGATCATGAGGGACGTGCTCAAGAAGTGGGTGGAGAGGGAAATCGGGGGGAGGTCGAATTTCCGGGCGCGATTATAGAGGACGATTGATAGGGGAGATAGATTTACAGAGTAGTTGTGACCTGCACTGATAGGCGAGGGAGTAGTCAAGTTCCAAGTTCTCTCCAACAGTGCTCAGCCGGGCATGTAGAGGGTCTGATGTTACAATACATGCCATGCTTTAGATACTTGGATATATACTCAAGGCCTAACGCCTAGAAAATATACCTAACCCTCTCCCATCGCCCTCAATCCTTTCGAGCAGAACGGCGGGGTTTGTCATCAACGATGAAGCTTCCTCTTGACTACAGACCACGTCTTCACCGCCCGCCCGCTCGCTCAATAAGCTAGCTAAGTTTGCGAGAGAGGAACACAGGGGAGAGCGTCTTAGGCAATGGGTGGTGGCTGTCATAGGTCTTCGTCTGATCTGGCCCCGTCCCCCCAGAAAAAAATACTGAGCCAGAAAAGAAACACCGGTCATGTGGGTCGTTCAACTCGGTAATGACGGGGACTACACCATCCCGCACAGAGTCAAGCAAGTTCAAGCGGCGTGCAGCATGCAGTTCTGTTGTCTGGGACATGGAGGCTCAGAAGTTTCTCAGGCTCTCCACATGGACCAGTTGGGCAAGGCTGCACTAGATTATTTATAGGGGGTTGGAGAGAAAAGGGGGGGAGGGGTGGTCAGCGATGTCATGCATGGAGACGGCGCCGGCGGTGTTTCTTCTATCCCCGCAACGCGAGACGATCTTTGAGGGGGCCACGAGGGAGGGTGAGGGGCTAACGCTTGCTTCCTCTTGAGTAACAAGTATTGTCTGTGTGTTTGTGTGTGCGTAAACACATGTGGGGTCCATGCTCATTGGCCAGATGGAGACGGCGGCACAGGCAGCGCAGGCAGCACAGAGATGGTGCAGGACCCTTTTCCTTTCGGGATGACAACTTGCTAGCTAGTTAGCTAACTGGATACTTTGCCTGGAGATACAAACAAACACACAGCCGCATAGAAAAAAAGTCGGGAGATCCTAACCCGTGCTGGATCGAGAGATATAGCATTTGTCTCGTATTGTCTGGCAACCACCTGAAGCTCCCAGATTCACTCCCAAAAACTTCGAGACAAAGCCATGGATCCCAGCAAGTATGGCGTCTCGTCCATCCCCTTGAACCATGCCCCTTACGGGCCCATCACAGACGACAAGCTCAAAGGCCTGAACCAGGGCAAAGTGGCCCTCGTCACAGGCGGTGCCAGAGGTACGCGATACACAAGACACGTACACACCCCAGCGATGAATCCTCCTAAAGCGCCACACCGAGGCTGCTGCTCCTCCTTTGCCTTTCACTCCCAGAAAACCAGGAGACCGCTGTGCTCGGCTAACTATGACCGTGCCCGGCAGGCATCGGACGGGCGATATCGCAAAAACTGGCCCTCTCGGGGGCCAACGTCGCGATCATAGACCGTCTCCAGGACGAACTGACAGAGACCAAGGCCCTCTGTGAAAAGTACGGCGTCACGGCCAAGACGTATGTGGTCGATGTGACGGACGTGGAGGCGTTGAGGACCGCGTTGAAGCGAGTAGAGGAGGACTTGGGCCCGATTGAGTGAGTTTTTCTTCTCCGACCGCTCCCTTCCTCCTTTCAAGATGGCGGAAGGAGAGAGTCCATCTGGGGGACTTGAGGATCCTCATTGTGATATTAATTCGGGTTTTCTGGATGGATGACGGATGGCCAAGTGAGTGAGACGGGGACTGACCTTGGGGTGAATTACCCGCCCATGCACAGCATCCTAGTCAACAACGCGGGAGTGTCGCCCGGAAAACCGCAGTGGATGGAGAGCTTTGAGGAGTTCTGGCGGACCATTGAGATAAATTTCAAGAGTGTACGGGTTCCCCCTTCTCTCTCCCCGCCTCTCTTTTTCTCTCTGCGCACACAAAAATCAACTCACTCCGCCCAATATTTACTTGGCTGGGAAGGAAGACTGACATGAGCAGGCCATGGTCACCACGTGGGCTCTCCTCGCGCAATTCCGCGAGCGCCGTTCCGGGGTCATTATCAACATCTCGTCGCGCGCCGCGACGGTCGACATGCCCTTTTCCACGGGCTACACATCGTCCAAGGCGGCCGTCGCCCGCGCGACGTCGACGCTGCAGGAAGAGATCGAGCTGGACGGCCTCGGCGACGCGATCCAGATGTACGCGCTGCATCCGGGTGGCGTGCTCACGGCCATGGCGAAGAGTAAGGATTCTCTCCGTCCCCCCTCCCTAGTTACCCTTCTTACCCATATATCTATCTACCTCGCCCACACACATGCACAGACTTACCAAGGAACAAAACAAACAGCCGAACTCCGCACCGAGATCCTCGAGAAATACCCGTCGCTCGAGCAGCAGCGCACAAAGTTCCACGCCCTCTTCAAAGATCCCCCGGAACTGTGCGGCGCCACATGCGCGTACCTGGCGTCGGGCCGGGCAAAGGAACTCAGAGGCATGTACTGGGACTGCAGGCAGGATATCGAGCGCGTGGTCGGCTACGGGAGGGAGGAGCTGGTGAAGGAGGGCAAGAACGTGCTCACGATTGGGTTTGTCGATGGGTACGAGAATGAGCCGTAGGGGATGAGTCGGAGGGGACGAAAAGGAGGGAGTGAGAGAAGATTAAATATATTCGAACCAATGTTCTCGACTGTGCCATGCTGCTCGTCTGTCTTCTGTCCCGTCAAAACCCCCAACAAGACAAGTTATCAACACATCGTGTGACAAAAACACATCAACCCGGCTGTGGCTGGTGCTGGACCACGAGTGTCGTTCCCTCACATCCCTCCTTCTGCCCCGGCATGGTCCGTCTCCAAGTGCAACCACTTGAGCGCGTTGTGCTTGTGCCAGAAATATCGATACTTCTTGCCATACACGTACATGGGCACCCCGAGGAGGCACAGGAACCCGGTAATCCCTGCCATGGTCCCCGCCATCTCGACGGCCCCATGTTCCATGTACCAGTCAATGACATAGTTTGTAAGCCTGGCCTCCGGTCAGTTCGCCGTTTAATCGGCTGGCAAGACGAGTCCGCGACTTACCCGTAGAAGAAGAAGTTTTTGAAGACCCTGTGCGTTGATCGGTTAGCCCGTCTCTTGCAAGGTAATAAGATAGAAAGCAGCTGGATCACCACGACGCAAAAGGACTCACATGTTCATGACAAACAGCTCGGTGCTGTTCTGGCGGTACGCGTCGAGTGCCCACTGCGTCGCGAAACTGGCAATTATGGTCATCCCGAACAGAATCACTCCCCAAATGAAGCAGATCAGGTAAATGTTCTCAAAGTTCTTGACCGCATAGGCCCATCCCACGAGACCAGCCACAGAGCATACACCGCCCAGAGTCAGGGGGAGGAGCGCGAATTCCGGCTCATAGACACCGTTGTTGCGGCGTGACATGTTCTTGACTAGCGGCTCCGAGACCACAAATGAGAAGATTGCACCCAGTAGCCCGCCAATGAAGGGTCCTGCCGACATGTACCCGACAGAGGCCGAGGACATCAGGTAGGGGGGCGAGGCGAAGATGACACCCGAGAGAATCGCCACGGCCACATACCAAGCAATAATGACTCCTGTCATCAAGACCTGGTAGAGAGCTCCCAGGTTGAGAAGTATCGCGACAGAGGCAATGGCCATCTTGATGACGGAATCGTCCACAAAGGTGCCGTTGTAGAGGGCGAGTTGCTGGACGAACGACTTTGGCGGCGGTATGGAATCCACGGATGTCTGTGTAGTGTTTGTCGTTGTCTTTTCTAGATCAGTATTTGTACCTGTAGCGGGTACTTTGGCATGGCCCTCCAAGTGATGTGCAGCTCGTGATTCCACACTTGCCAGCTTTTCCAGGTTCTCGTCAGAGCCCGCCGTGTCGATTTCGTATATGGCCTTCCGCCGATACATTGTTTCGGGACAGTAAAGAATGACAAAGATGGTTTGGATTGCCGCAAAAGGTATGTAGATGTGGAAGTTGTAATGCCAGCCAAGGTGATCCGTGATGACACCGGCAACGATGGAAATCCCATTGGAGATGGCCGCCAATAGGAAAATGATAACGGCTACTCTGGGACCTCTCTCGTGGACGAAGAACATGTCCCCGATGGACGCCACAGCAAGGGACTCGTATGCGGCGATGCCTATTCCTTGGAGGACCCGACCGGAAAGGAGCGTGTTGTAACCCGAGGCCACTTCCGAGACGATGATTCCAATGGTGCCGATCAAGGATGAGAAGACGTACATGGGTCGTTTACCGTACTTTCGACCCAAGGCAGAGGCAAAAGGGCCCATGGCCCCCGTCGCGAGGAGAGAATATCCCGAGAGTTTGGCGACATCAGTTGGGGAGCGCTTGAGGTCCAATGAGATTTGAATGATGCCAGCATTGAGGATCGGTCCCTGTGCAGTTTGTCATTCCAATGCTGCAAGCCTGGCTTCGTGGCTGTCACCTACCGGCACCACACCGTGTATAATCACCCCAAAGAAGATGATGGTCAACACAATATGCTTCTTGAAGGATGACCAATTCAGCGGGTCGTTCGGATCCTCAGATGGCTGCGGCGCGAGAACAATGTGCGCATTCTTCCCTGTTCCGTGCTTCAAACGACCCGTCTGCTGTTCCGAATGGGCAGCTCGCTGGTCGAGGAGGACTGTTCCTGGAACGTGCGCAGTGGTGTTCGCCTCAAGCACACCCAGACCCATTTTGTTTGTTTCCCTTGCACTGGTTTGAGAGTGGCAGTGCTCACGCTTAATCGCGAGAAGCTGTTCAATGGTCTTTGCACATCAGATCAAGCTGCCGGACGGGCCCGTATATCAACAGCCATATCAACCATCGGGGCAGAGTGGAGAGAGCCTCGTCTAGAATCCGGGGGCATCCAATTGTCAGAATCTGGGGAATATCGCTACCCCACCTTTTCTCATTGGACCAATGCATTGTCTATTCACGGTTAGATTGCTTTGCTCAGGGCTAACATCAAAGGCCTAGAATCCACCATGATCTAGCCTCTATATTGGGTAACCAAAGCCTGGAAGCGAACTGGGTAGGTGTGGCCGTATTGGTAGAAAGGTGGTGCGTCGTCTAGGGTCGAGGTAAGCCATGCATCCGGCTTTCCTCGTGGCTAGACACAATAGGCGACTGTCGTTTCCAACAGTGGCAACACATGCAAGGTTGAAGGCCCTCCTGACCTTAGGATACGAGAGGCAAGTTGGGGCAAGCTCGGCAAGCTGGATACCTCTGGTTATGAGACAAAGCCAGCTGTAAGTCGGGGAAGTGTCTCAGCCTTGTCTTAGGCATGTTGTTCTGCTGGGGTGTATTGATCAGTAGGGGCCAAGAACATAGCTTCTCCAACAGTCGGTCGCTTGTCCATATGTATGGATGCTCATCTCGGGTGCAACTGGAGTTGACCGCAGCCGAGATTGCTGGAGAAGATGAAGCAGACAGGGATAAACGATAAAAGATATTTGGTGAGTGGTGAGTGGTGAGCGGACTGAAGACTGAATGGAAGAATGTTTTGCAAGATTGAGTCCGTCTTCGCGTCCCTCTAGTAGATGCCTGGAATGATCCTCCATCTGACGCGCTTGCAGTAGCGCTCCCAGTCTTTTCCATACTTGCTCCGGCACTTCTCTTCATCCCTCATTTCTCTATGCACGAGCAGCACAGCAAAATACAAGACATAGAAATAGGTAAAAATCATCCCCCAACCACGAGCATCTCCTTGCACTACCTCTCTAGTTACATGACCGGTAACAGGATTCTGGTACTTGTTGATGATATATCCCGCAATTCCAGTAGGGAGAGAGTAGCTCCAGGACATGGTCCAGTCACCAAGATAGTTGATATGTCGCGCGTAACCCCACCAACCAGAGACAAGAAGTTTGGAGCCAGACTCGGTTGTTATAGTTTCAAGGTGTGATACTCGAGGATCATTGGGATTTGTTCGGAATCGGTTCTTCTCGTTGTTTGCCCCTCGGAAGATGTAGTATCCTAAGCCTTGCACGCCCAGCACGCCAGCGATGCCGCTGATGCCCAGGGTCAAGGGATATACCGCCAGATACCGTGCTTGTAGGCTGTAAATGAATGGAACCCAAGTCAGGTCACCGAAAGCGAGCATGAACCCGAAACCATCGGTGGTCACATCCATGGTGGTGAGAATTGCCGATTCCATGTAAAGTGAGTCGAGGACATAGAGCGATTGGAAAAGAGTGACCAGAATGATAGAATCACTAACAAAACCATGAACCTTGTACTGATGCACAATGAACGCGAGGTCGAGAATGATCCAGCCTAGCAGACCTGGTCTCAACTCGTTGAAGACCTTGATATCGATCACTTGACCACCTGCGATGGGGATCCAACGCGGAACGGCGACACGTGGATTCAGCTCACGCCCAATGAAGAAGTCGTATAGCATGTTCCCAGTATGCCCTCCCTTGGCAAGCTCCCTATTCTCCGGATTTGGTTTACCTGGGTGAGGAATGCTGAAGGAAGCCAGATAGACATAGATTGCCTGGGCATAGGAAATGAGGAGATTCGCTGTAACAACTTGGGGGAGATTGTCCCAGATGAAGTTCCAGACTGCAAAGTCGGTTCCTTGAAGAGCGGTGCCCACGGCGAGACCAGCAAGGGTGAGGACCGCCGAGTTGAAGGAGTTGAATTTGTAGTGATGTCTTCCTCCCGTGCCCAATGTTGTACCATCGACCTCTTGACCGGGCAGAAACAATTGCAGAGCTAGACTCAGAGCATAGTATGCCAGCACCCACAGAATGACGTTCAGATCGAACAGGCCCAAGAGTCCATCCTCCGGCCATGGCGTCTGTTTCTTCAATTTCCCCAGGGTTAAAGTTCGTGGGTCCAGCAGTGCAGGCGCAGGGCAACCTGAGACGTCGTTGCACAGGAAGATGGTGGTATAGACGAGGATGGGCAAGCCGAACACTATGCCAGCAGCTCCTAGTCTGCTACGGCATCAGTATGGAGATATTTGGCAACGGAGTGTATCGACTTACGGGCCACCAAATTCATAGCCATGCTTCTCCTCTGAAGCTTTCTCTGTCCCTGGTTTCACTGTCATTTTGCGTAGCTTTTACGAAGCGAGTACCAATGGAGTCGACAAAGGAGATTGTAGAAACACAGACGGAAGGTTCAGAGAGAGTGAGATGGCGACAAATGAAGGCAAATGAGTGTCATTTCTATGTCCGCAGTTATGGAAAGTCAATGCAAAAGAGGGTGAAGCCAAAACAAAAAGTCAAGCCACCGGCATGTCCAGCAGCCGAATGAGATCATCATCGCCATCAGGGCGCAGTTGTGGATGTGGATGCATCGCGTTGCATGTTGCGTGTTGCGTGTCGCGCCAACTCAAGACCATGAAAAAAGCTTCAGATACGAGTTCGTCTCGGAGGATTTTCTGATGGGTACAGCGTGTACTCGGTATTCCCCAGTAGTAAACCGCAGATTGGAAGCATGTGTTGAAATCTCGAAATAATCGTGTGCCGTTGCCTTATCCGTAGCATCTTTGACCAACCCCGAGGATCCGCAGGCACACACATTTCGACTGTTACTCCCTCCCTTGCTCCCTTGCTCCCCTATTACTGGTGCCA